TGATGCTGGGCTCCAGCGGCTACATCCTGGTCCTCCTTCACCGGCACGGCAGGAAGGTGCGGGGCATCCGCCGCTCGCAGGGCCCCACGATGGAAACGCGGGCGGCCAAGACGGTGGTGATGCTGGTGGTTCTGTACGCTGTGTTTTTCGGCATCGACAATGTCATCTGGATCTACATGCTGACGGTGCCTCAGGTGCCCCCGGTGGTGGCCGACATGAGGGTGTTTTTCTCCTCGTGCTACGCCTCGCTCAGCCCGTTCCTCATCATCTCGTCTAACAAGAAGGTCAAAGCGAGGATGGTGTGTGCAACCTCGTCAGACCAGGAGCGGCAAGCAGAGGATAGCAAGGACTCAAAAGCTGCCAAAAACTGATCTTAACAAAGTCTTAGATTTGTAGTTTTGTAATAGTGTCACAAATATTATAAATATATTATATTACAATATCTTATAAAATCAGATATTATATATAATATAACATAGTATCAGATAGTATTAGGTCTGAGTGTGTCTGTATTTGAGTGGCACCTAATAAACGAACTGCTGGAAAGAGAACTGCGAGGACTCTTATTTTGACGCGTCGGTTGGGGACTCTTATTTTGACGGGTTGTTGTTCAGTCTCCATCTTGAACCGACCCTGAAAACTCGAGCCGAGTTAAACTGACGGTGAGCTCGCATTTAATGTGGTTTTCTCTCGGTTAAGCTTTTGGAAAACGATCAACGGCTGTTCTTAAACTTCTCTTGACCGAGAGAGTCAGCCGTGTTTGGGGTTTTAGTGTCTTCAGCGAGAGTCGCTGACTTCCGTTAGCCTGCTAGCTGCGCGTCATGAAGACACGCTCAGACTCTCAGAAGCAGAGCGTGTTTGTGTACAAAACAGATCAAGCTCTTTCACTCTTCTGCTGTAAGCCTCTGCATTTAAACCTGAGAAGAGCTGAAAAGCGCATAGAAACAGCTTTACAATTTTGTTTTTGCATAATAATGATTATATTTCACATAATGGAAGTGAAGCACTGTATTTTTAATTCACCTTTTTGATATTCGATCGGCAAATGTGCTTTATCTTCATAAAAATGTCAGGATGAAATAGCTATGAGTGCTCTATTCTGTATCTCCATGTGTGATATATTCAGTAAGATCTGTAGTGTTTTCTCTGCTCATCAAGACTGCATTTATTTATCAGAAATACAGAAAACACAGTAATATTGTGAAATATTATCACCATTTATAATAACAGTGTTCTATGTGAATCTCTGTTAAACTGTAATGTATTTCTGTGATGCGCAGCTGTATTTTCAGCATCATTCCTCCAGTCTTCAGTGTCACATGATCTTCAGAAATCAGTATTATTATTCTGTATCTCCATGTGTGATATATTCAGTAAGATCTGTAGTGTTTTCTCTGCTCATCAAGACTGCATTTATTTATCAGAAATACAGAAAACACAGTAATATTGTGAAATATTATCACCATTTATAATAACAGTGTTCTATGTGAGTCTCTGTTAAACTGTAATGTATTTCTGTGATGCGCAGCTGTATTTTCAGCATCATTCCTCCAGTCTTCAGTGTCACATGATCTTCAGAAATCAGTATTAAATTATATAAAGTAATTTTGTAAGACTATTTAAATGTAACTAAATTTTAATGATACTGAATAAATAAAATAAAAATAACTACACTTTTACTGAAAGTAACACAATAAAACTGGACAGAATTTATATTAATATTGGTAACACTTTACAATAAGGTTCATTAGTTAACTACTTTATTTAATGAACTAAGAATGAACAATCTCAGTTCATGTTCATTTCAACATTTACTAATGCGTTATTAAAATCAGCAGTTGTGCTTGTTAACAGTTAATGCTCTGAACTAACAGTGAATAACTGTATTCTCATTAACTAATATTAACAAAGATTAATAAATACTGTAATGTATTGTTCGTTCCTGATAACTTTCCTCTTTATTTTCCTAACTTACAGCATGCTGACGGTGACCCGCTGACCTCAGCAGAAAAAACACCATCTAGTGGATTGTAAAGAAATTGATTTTATTATTCTACCAAATATTATAATAAAAGATCGATACAGTATTGCCGCGGAAAATATCGTGACACTATCCTGTATCGATTCCCCCCCACCCCTACTTTTAACTTGATATTCATCAAAGAATCCTAAAAAAAAGTATCACAGCTTCCAAAGAAATATTAAGCAGCAGAACTGATAATAAAGCAGCATATTATACTGATTTCTGAAGATCATGTGACACTGAAGACTGGAGGAATGATGCTGAAAATACAGCTGCGCATCACAGAAATATATTACCGTTTACGGTATATTAAAATAGAACAGTTATTTTAATTTGTAATAATATTTCACAACGTTACTGTATTTCTGATCAAATAAATGCAGCCTTGATGAGCAGAAGAGACTTCTTTAAAACACATTAATAATCTGACCGATCCCACACTTTTGAACAGCAGTGGAGTGAAGATAAAATATAGCGGAAGGCATTTCTGTATGCCACGGGTTCGATTCTCATACACACCATAAATGTAATTGATTTGATTTCCTGATGTTGAGATCAGATATAATGTGTGCGTGTTGTTGTTAGAGCTGGGAGCGTATCAGCCGAGCGAGACTCTCTCCGCGCAGGAATGGCGGCGATCCGTAAGAAGCTGGTGATCGTGGGCGACGGCGCGTGCGGGAAGACCTGCCTGCTCATCGTCTTCAGCAAAGACCAGTTCCCCGAGGTCTACGTGCCCACCGTCTTCGAGAACTACGTGGCCGACATCGAGGTGGACAGCAAGCAGGTGAGGAGCGAGCGGTTCGTGCGGCCGCGAGCTGTGCTAACACTGTGCTAATGCTAGCGTGTGGAGTTTCAGGTGGAGCTAGCGCTGTGGGACACGGCGGGTCAGGAGGACTACGACCGTCTGCGGCCGCTCTCTTACCCCGACACCGACGTCATCCTCATGTGCTTCTCCATCGACAGCCCCGACAGCCTGGGTGAGTCTCGCGCTAGCCGCGCTCACGCTAGCCCCGCGCCCGCTGACCTCTGACCCCTCTGACCCGCAGAGAACATTCCCGAGAAATGGACTCCGGAGGTCAAGCACTTCTGCCCCAACGTTCCCATAATCCTGGTGGGCAACAAGAAGGACCTGCGCCACGACGAACACACTCGCTGCGAGCTCTTCAAGATGAAGCAGGTGCGCATTGGCCGAACATGTGGGAAGCAAGACTTTTATTTTGAAAGCCCATTCTCCATCTCCAGATTTCTCAAATAAACAAACCCTGTTATTTATTACTTTTAGATTACATAGCATGACATTATATATCGGCTGGCTAAAAACCTCTATTGGTCGACCGCTGAGGTTCCTGTGGGTCCTTAAGAAATGAGAAACCTTAAATGGAGTAACACGAGGCATAATTTCAGGAGGACCGAAGTTTGGCCGATTTATTAAACTCCAAATGTGCCGTTGTTTTGCGTTCTGCTGAGCATTAATGCCGAACGATCGCTTATGATCTACTGATGAAGCGTTGCAAGACGCAAGTTTGAATGAGCAGCTGTAGTCGTAAAGCATAGGCTTTTCAAAATAAGGGTCTCTGTGTGTTTCAGGCTTGTTTGTACAGTAAAACACACACTTAAATTACTTGAAATAAGCGTTAATAATTAATAATAAGGTGGATATATAAACCGATTCATATATTGCCCGTTTGGCACTTCCTAATTATTTCAAAATAAGAGTCTCTGTGATTTTCAGGCTTGTAACCAAAGCCTCAAAAGAACATACTTTATTATTTGAAATAAAACAAACATTACCTGAAGTTAAGTATATAAACAACTTTCTATTTCAGTTAGTTGCCACGGCAACATTTCTAATTTTAATTCTCACTTGATGTACTAAAATGACTAAAGCAGAAATAAAAACTGTATAACAATAAACAAAAACTACTAAAACTGACAACTTTAACTTGGAAGCAGAAAATCTAAAAATAAAAACTATAATAGAATCTCAGTGATGCTAAAATAACACTGGTTTATAATTAAAAGTCCCACTTATGCAAAAAATCTTTTTTGTCCTGGTTATAATTAGCGTTTTGTTCACAGCAGGGTTCCTCAAATCTTGCCCTGGAGGTCCAATGCGCTGCAGAGTTTAGCTCCAACCCTGATCAAACTCGGCTGCCTGTGATTTTCTAATGATCCTGAAGACATTGATTAGCATGCTCAGGTGTGTTTGATCAGGGTTAGAGCTAAATTCTGCAGGAAAGTGGATCTCGTGGGCCAGATTTGAGGATCCCTGCTATACAGTACATAGATGTTACTAGTATCGGCACAATTTTTTAATTGCCTTTCTGTAAACACATGATTATATTTTCAGCAAAGTCAGATACCGATTGAATTTGCATGTATTGGCATGAACTGATTCCAGTGCATTTGTAAGGGTTGAGCGTCTGTACTCTGATCTTTCTTGAGTTGTTAGAAGCATCAGCAGTGTAAGTGAAGCTGTGGTTTGTGACATCTCTGTCTCCCCCCAGGAGCCCGTCAAGCCGGAGGAGGGCCGAGACATGGCCAACCGCATCTGTGCCTTCGGATACATGGAGTGCTCCGCCAAAAGCAAGGACGGCGTGCGGGAGGTGTTTGAGATGGCCACCAGGGCGGCGCTGCAGGCACGCAAGGGCAAGAAGAGCAGCAAATGCCTGCTGCTGTAGACGGACTGCGCTCGCCTCCTTTTTATTCCTTCTAACTGCATCAGTTCACCTAGTGTTGAGAGTTTGTCAGTATTTAACGTTTCTGTTCGTACACCACTGAATTCGCCACATTCAGACTCTGCGAAAACACAAATATGCAACGACGACTTCCAGAAACAACCGATCAGGACCAAGGTGCACTGCACGCCGCGGACCAGACTTGAAATGCATTCTTTTGTCTGTTTGTGTATTAAAGCCTTTATAAGACGCGTCTGCTGGTTTTTCTCCTGCTTTGATTGTTTGAAAACAGCACGTCATTGAGGATTCGCTCTTTATTTCACACACACAAAAACAGATTGCAAATAAAGTTCCTGTGGAAAAATAAAAGTGAAGACGCGAGTTGGATTTTATAATGGGGTTTGAGTTTGAGTGCGCTGCACGAAATGATTTTCTTACATTGTATTTGCATTGTTTTCTAGTACAAATATCCAAACATTCTTTCATCAAGAGACATTTACTGGAGATTCAAAACAACAGATGTGTAGTCGTGTTTTCTGAAAAACTGATCAAAATGAAGCGAGTTCATGCTTAAAATAATAACAAACATCTGACAGTGGTATGAAAAATTATCTGAATTCAATTGAAAAACAAAATCATGTCCCTGACCTCACTGATGGATATTTATTCTCGTTCTGAGCAAAAACTCAACTTTGATCCATTTTTTCTGAGGATTTGTTTTTTTTTTTAACAATAAACTCAACGTCAAACTAGTCACTGGTTTTTCTTGGACGGGGCTCTGGCGTGTGCGAGGAGAAGCGGCAGGAGTGCGAGCAGCACGATCATCCCACCCAGCAGAGGCCGGTAGAAGATCCATCCGACGGAGATGGTGAGCAGTGAGAGCGAACACGAGACGCAGAGCGCGAAGATCTTCAGCCCCGCAGACACCAGCTCCCTCAGCACAGGAACCCAGTCCACTGGAGCAGACACACAGAGAGAGAGAGAGTCAGGACGAGACAGTTACCCATCAGCCCTGAGAGAGAGTGTGTGTGAGTGAGAGTGAGAGTGTTTGTGTGTGTGTATGAGTGAGAGTGAGCGAGTGTGTGTGTGTGTGTGTGTGTGTGTGTGTGTGTGTGTGTGAATTACCCAGCGTGTATATGATCCGCGTGCTCAGACTGACGCCCAGAAACATGAGCGCCCAGCCGCCGAGCCTCAGCGCCCAGGTCTTCATGTTGTTCAGCTGATGTTCTCTGGAAAACACCTCCTGCGAGAACACAACCACACGTGAGCGTCACGCCTGCAGAGGCGGATCCGTGCGACCTACGACCCCACACACCTCTGCTGACAGATCGCCCAAGTAGAGGATCTCCAGCACATCTCCGGAGCGCGTCCTGAAGGGCTTCAGCTGATTGCTCTGCTGCATCGCCACCACACTCACCTACAACACACCAGAGACAAACTCTAACCCGATGCATCATATCTGATACAGTGAGAATATGGAAGAGAAACAGCTCGACTTTATTCAGAGGCTCAAACTGCACATGCTGATATTTCTCTGATGAGATTCTGATGCTTGTGATGTAAATCAATGAGATCTTTATAACAGTAGAGCAGATACTGACATAAAGTGATCTAAATATCAGTCGTGGCTCTATATCTGCAGTAATCTGTCTCAGTAAGATGAGACTGAAATGCTCCGAACATATACTGCAGTGATTGAGAGCTGAAGAAATAAAGGCTCCTCAGAAGATGTGAGATGTTCTGGAGGCTTGTGAAGATCATTCCTCCGCTGAGGAACAGTGAAAGTAAAGCTTCTGGAAACAAACGCTCCTCAAAAGATCCTGAGGATCAGATTTGAGACTCTAAAACATGATTGATGGAGAATCAAGTAAAGCTGAGCTGCTTCAGTGCAGTAAGTGTTCATCTGGAGATATTACTGAAGTTATTCTGATCTTTACTTGATAAAAACCAGTCAAGATTTGACACAAGAAGCAGCAGCTGAAGCTGGACGTTTCTACAATTACACTAAAAGAGCGAGGCATCTGATTGGCCGTTCTCACCTTGTGGGCGGGGCCAGGATAGACTCCATCACCGCTCAGACCAGCGTAAGCGAAACGAATGCGCACGTCTCCAACCTGAACCAACAACAAGACAACGGTCACCATGGAAACCAGTGATGTTCACGAGTGTGTTTGTGAGTGTGTGTGTGTTCACTCACCTCTGGACGTCGAGGGTTTGCCGTGTGGTAAAAGTAATCATCGTACACCGTCAGGAAGGTGATCATAACAGGAACAGGAACTCCTTGGAGACTCAGCGTGTGGAAGTCATTGATCTGCTCCACCAGCCCTGGAAACACACGTGTGAACGTCAACACGCCTGCAGTGGCACGAGGAAGAGCACCTAATGCGTGTGCTACCTTTAGACAGGAAGAGCTCCCCGACCCAAACGTCTGGAGCCACGACCGTCACGCTCTCCACCGCCATCGCGCTGAGAAACAACACAAACACGTCAGAAACACACGGCGTTGCAGTACTCATCACAGCTCACGCCACTCACCTGGGGTTCATGTGACCGACCTCCTGATCGAAGTGCCTGCTGCTGATGACCTCTGACTTCCACTCGGTGTCTGCAAATAACACAAGCTCAGTGAGACGCCTGCGAGACGCACAGAGAAACGTCAGCTCAACACTCACTGTATGTGTATGTGGTTTCGGTCTTCTTCTCTCCGTTCTCCTCATAGTCCCTGTAATGAAAGAGACAGACATGAGTGAATGAGTGTGAATGTGATGAACATGAGTGAATGTGAGTGAGTGTGAGTGAACGTGGTGAATGTGAGTGTGAGTGAACGTGAGTGAGTGTGAGTGAGTGAGTGAATGTGATGAACGTGAGGGAGTGTGAGTGAATGTGATGAACATGAGTGAGTGAGTGAATGTGATGAACGTGAGGGAGTGTGAGTGAATGTGATGAACATGAGTGAGTGAGTGAATGTGATGAACGTGAGGGAGTGTGAGTGAATGTGATGAACATGAGTGAGTGAGTGAATGTGATGAACGTGAGGGAGTGTGAGTGAATGTGATGAACATGAGTGAGTGAGTGAATGTGATGAACGTGAGGGAGTGTGAGTGAATGTGATGAACATGAGTGAGTGAGTGAATGTGATGAACGTGAGGGAGTGTGAGTGAATGTGATGAACATGAGTGAGTGAGTGAATGTGATGAACGTGAGGGAGTGTGAGTGAATGTGATGAACATGAGTGAGTGAGTGAATGTGATGAACGTGAGGGAGTGTGAGTGAATGTGATGAACATGAGTGAGTGAGTGAATGTGATGAACGTGAGGGAGTGTGAGTGAATGTGATGAACATGAGTGAGTGAGTGAATGTGATGAACGTGAGGGAGTGTGAGTGAATGTGATGAACATGAGTGAGTGAGTGAATGTGATGAACGTGAGGGAGTGTGAGTGAATGTGATGAACATGAGTGAGTGAGTGAATGTGATGAACGTGAGGGAGTGTGAGTGAATGTGATGAACATGAGTGAGTGAGTGAATGTGATGAACGTGAGGGAGTGTGAGTGAATGTGATGAACATGAGTGAGTGAGTGAATGTGATGAACGTGAGGGAGTGTGAGTGAATGTGATGAACATGAGTGAGTGAGTGAATGTGATGAACGTGAGGGAGTGTGAGTGAATGTGATGAACATGAGTGAGTGAGTGAATGTGATGAACGTGAGGGAGTGTGAGTGAATGTGATGAACATGAGTGAGTGAGTGAATGTGATGAACGTGAGGGAGTGTGAGTGAATGTGATGAACATGAGTGAGTGAGTGAATGTGATGAACGTGAGGGAGTGTGAGTGAATGTGATGAACATGAGTGAGTGAGTGAATGTGATGAACGTGAGGGAGTGTGAGTGAATGTGATGAACATGAGTGAGTGAGTGAATGTGATGAACGTGAGGGAGTGTGAGTGAATGTGATGAACATGAGTGAGTGAGTGAATGTGATGAACGTGAGGGAGTGTGAGTGAATGTGATGAACATGAGTGAGTGAGTGAATGTGATGAACGTGAGGGAGTGTGAGTGAATGTGATGAACATGAGTGAGTGAGTGAATGTGATGAACGTGAGGGAGTGTGAGTGAATGTGATGAACATGAGTGAGTGAGTGAATGTGATGAACGTGAGGGAGTGTGAGTGAATGTGATGAACATGAGTGAGTGAGTGAATGTGATGAACGTGAGGGAGTGTGAGTGAATGTGATGAACATGAGTGAGTGAGTGAATGTGATGAACGTGAGGGAGTGTGAGTGAATGTGATGAACATGAGTGAGTGAGTGAATGTGATGAACGTGAGGGAGTGTGAGTGAATGTGATGAACATGAGTGAGTGAGTGAATGTGATGAACGTGAGGGAGTGTGAGTGAATGTGATGAACATGAGTGAGTGAGTGAATGTGATGAACGTGAGGGAGTGTGAGTGAATGTGATGAACATGAGTGAGTGAGTGAATGTGATGAACGTGAGGGAGTGTGAGTGAATGTGATGAACATGAGTGAGTGAGTGAATGTGATGAACGTGAGGGAGTGTGAGTGAATGTGATGAACATGAGTGAGTGAGTGAATGTGATGAACGTGAGGGAGTGTGAGTGAATGTGATGAACATGAGTGAGTGAGTGAATGTGATGAACGTGAGGGAGTGTGAGTGAATGTGATGAACATGAGTGAGTGAGTGAATGTGATGAACGTGAGGGAGTGTGAGTGAATGTGATGAACATGAGTGAGTGAGTGAATGTGATGAACGTGAGGGAGTGTGAGTGAATGTGATGAACATGAGTGAGTGAGTGAATGTGATGAACGTGAGGGAGTGTGAGTGAATGTGATGAACATGAGTGAGTGAGTGAATGTGATGAACGTGAGGGAGTGTGAGTGAATGTGATGAACATGAGTGAGTGAGTGAATGTGATGAACGTGAGGGAGTGTGAGTGAATGTGATGAACATGAGTGAGTGAGTGAATGTGATGAACGTGAGTGAGTGTGAGTGAACGTGATGAACATGAGTGAACGTGAGTGTGAGTGAATGTGAGTGAGTGAATGTGATGAACGTGAGTGAGTGAATGTGATGAACGTGAGTGAGTGAGTGAATGTGAGTGAACGTGAGTGAATGTGAGTGAACGTGAGTGAGTGAATGTGAGTGAACGTGAGTGAATGTGAGTGAACGTGAGTGAGTGAATGTGAGTGAACGTGAGTGAATGTGAGTGAACGTGAGTGAGTGAATGTGAGTGAACGTGAGTGAATGTGAGTGAACGTGAGTGAGTGAATGTGAGTGAACGTGAGTGAATGTGAGTGAACGTGAGTGAGTGAATGTGAGTGAACGTGAGTGAATGTGAGTGAACGTGAGTGAGTGAATGTGAGTGAACGTGAGTGAATGTGAGTGAACGTGAGTGAGTGAATGTGAGTGAACGTGAGTGAATGTGAGTGAACGTGAGTGAGTGAATGTGAGTGAACGTGAGTGAATGTGAGTGAACGTGAGTGAGTGAATGTGAGTGAACGTGAGTGAATGTGAGTGAACGTGAGTGAGTGAATGTGAGTGAACGTGAGTGAATGTGAGTGAACGTGAGTGAGTGAATGTGAGTGAACGTGAGTGAATGTGAGTGAACGTGAGTGAGTGAATGTGAGTGAACGTGAGTGAGTGTGAGTGAATGTGATGAACGTGAGTGAGCGTGAATGAATGTGATGAACGTGAGTGAATGTGAGTGAGTGAGTGTGAGTGAATGTGAGTGAATGAGAGTGAGTGTGAGTGTGAGTGTGAGTGAGTGTGATGAACGTGAGTGAATGTGAGTGAGAGTGAGTGTGAGTGAGTGTGATGAACGTGAGTGAATGTGAGTGAGAGTGAGTGTGAGTGAGTGTGATGAACGTGAGTGAATGTGAGTGAGAGTGAGTGTGAGTGAGTGTGATGAACGTGAGTGAATGTGAGTGAGAGTGAGTGTGAGTGAGTGTGATGAACGTGAGTGAATGTGAGTGAGAGTGAGTGTGAGTGAGTGTGATGAACGTGAGTGAATGTGAGTGAGAGTGAGTGTGAGTGAGTGTGATGAACGTGAGTGAATGTGAGTGAGAGTGAGTGTGAGTGAGTGTGATGAACGTGAGTGAATGTGAGTGAGTGAGTGTGAGTGAATGTGATGAACATGAGTGAGTGAGTGAATGTGATGAACGTGAGTGAGCGTGAGTGAATGGGAGTGAATGGGAGTGAGTGTGAGGAACGTGAGTGAGTGTGAGTGAGAGTGAATGTGATGAACGTGAGTGAGTGTGAGTGAATGTGATGAACGTGAGTGAGTGAGTGTGAGTGAGTGAGTGAATGTGATGAACATGAGTGAACGTGAGTGAGTGAGTGAGTGAGAGTGAATGTGATGAACGTGAGTGAGTGTGAGTGAATGTGATGAACATGAGTGAACGTGAGTGAGTGAGTGAGTGAGAGTGAATGTGATGAACGTGAGTGAGCGTGAGGGAGAGTGAGTGTGAGTGAGTGAGTGAATGTGATGAACATGAGTGAACGTGAGTGAGTGAGTGAGTGAGAGTGAATGTGATGAACGTGAGTGAGCGTGAGGGAGAGTGAGTGTGAGTGAGTGAGTGAATGTGATGAACATGAGTGAACGTGAGTGAGTGAGTGAGTGAGAGTGAATGTGATGAACGTGAGTGAGTGTGAGTGAACGTGAGTGAGAGTGAGTGAGTGTGATTTAGTGTGATGAACGTGAGTGAGAGTGAGTGAGTGTGATGAATGTGAGTGAATGTGAGTGAGCGTGAGTGAGAGTGAGTGTGAGTGAGTGTGATGAATGTGAGTGAGCGTGAGTGAGCGTGAGTGAGAGTGAGTGTGAGCGAGTGTGATGAACGTGAGTGAGAGTGAGTGTGATGAACGTGAGTGAGAGTGAGTGTGAGTGAGTGTGAGTGTGATGAACGTGAGTGAATGTGAGTGAGCGAGTGTGAGTGAGAGTGAATGTGATGAACGTGAGTGAGTGTGAGTGAGAGTGAGTGAATGTGAGGGAGTGAGTGTGAGTGAGTGAGAGTGAATGTGAGTGAGTGAGTGAGTGTGTGTGTGCATGTGAGTGAGTGAGTGAGTGTGTGTGTGCATGTGAGTGAGTGAGTGAGTGTGTGTGTGCATGTGAGTGAGTGAGTGAGTGTGTGTGTGCATGTGAGTGAGTGAGTGAGTGTGTGTGTGCATGTGAGTGAGTGAGTGAGTGTGTGTGTGCATGTGAGTGAGTGAGTGAGTGTGTGTGTGCATGTGAGTGAGTGAGTGAGTGTGTGTGTGAGTGAGTGAGTGAGTGTGAGTGAGTGAGTGTGAGTGAATGTGAGGGAGTGAGTGTGAGTGAGTGAGAGTGAATGTGAGTGAGTGAGTGTGAGTGAGTGAGTGTGAGTGAATGTGAGTGAGTGAGTGTGATGAACGTGAGTGAGTGTGAGTGAGAGTGAGTGAACGTGAGTGAGAGTGAATGTGATGAACGTGAGTGAATGTGAGTGAGTGTGAGTGAACGTGAGTGAGTGAGTGATGAACGTGAGTGAGAGTGAGTGTGAGTGTGATGAATGTGAGTGAATGTGAGTGAGAGTGTGAGTGAGAGTGATGAACGTGAGTGAATGTGAGTGAGCGTGAGTGAGAGTGAGTGTGATGAACGTGAGTGAATGTGACTGAGAGTGAGTGAACGTGACTGAGAGTGAGTGTGAGTGAGTGTGATGAACGTGAGTGAATGTGAGTGAGTGTGAGTGAACGTGAGTGAGTGAGTGTGATGAACGTGAGTGAGAGTGAGTGAGAGTGTGAGTGAGAGTGATGAACGTGAGTGAATGTGAGTGAGAGTGAGTGTGTGAATGTGAGTGAGTGAGTGTGAGAGTGAGTGTGAGTGTGAGTGAATGTGATGAATGTGAGTGAGTGTGAGAGTGAGTGTGAGTGAGAGTGAATGTGATGAATGTGAGTGAGTGTGAGAGTGAGTGTGAGTGAGAGTGAATGTGATGAATGTGAGTGAGTGTGAGAGTGAGTGTGAGTGAGAGTGAATGTGATGAATGTGAGTGAGTGTGAGAGTGAGTGTGAGTGAGAGTGAATGTGATGAATGTGAGTGAGTGTGAGAGTGAGTGTGAGTGAGAGTGAATGTGATGAATGTGAGTGAGTGTGAGAGTGAGTGTGAGTGAGAGTGAATGTGATGAATGTGAGTGAGTGTGAGAGTGAGTGTGAGTGAGAGTGAATGTGATGAATGTGAGTGAGTGTGAGTGAGAGTGAGTGTGATGAACGTGAGTGAATGTGAGTGAGCGTGAGTGAGAGTGATGAACGTGAGTGAATGTGAGTGAGTGTGAGTGAGAGTGAGTGTGAGTGAGTGATGAATGTGAGTGAGAGTGAGTGTGATGAACATGAGTGAACGTGAGTGAATGTGAGTGAGCGTGAGTGAGAGTGATGAACGTGAGTGAATGTGAGTGAGCGTGAGTGAGCGTGAGTGAGAGTGAGTGAACGTGACTGAGAGTGAGTGTGAGTGAGTGTGATGAATGTGAGTGAGTGTGAATGAGAGTGAGTGTGAGTGAATGTGATGAATGTTAGTGAGGGGGAGTGAGAGTGAGTGTGAGTGAGAGTGAGTGTGAGTGAGAGTGAGTGTGAGTGAGAGTGAGTGTGAGTGAGTGTGATGAATGTGAGTGAGTGAGTGTGAGAGTGAGTGTGAGTGTGAGTGAATGTGATGAATGTTAGTGAGTGTGAGTGAGAGTGAGTGTGAGTGAGAGTGAATGTGATGAATGTGAGTGAATGTGAGTGAGCGTGAGTGTGAGTGTGAGTGAGTGTGATGAATGTGAGTGTGAGTGAGAGTGAGTGTGAGTGAGTGTGATGAATGTGAGTGTGAGTGAGAGTGAGTGTGAGTGAATGTGAGTGAGCGTGAGTGAACGTGAGTGAGTGTGAGTGAACGTAAGTGAACGTGAGTAAGTGTGAGTGAATGTGAGTAGATGTGAGTACGGCGGCTGTGTCACACAGACCTGCTCTCGCTGTACTCCACCCACTGGTACATCTCCACCCGCCTCTGCAGCTTCACCGCCTGCACCGTCACGCCATAGTTCGGGTCGTACAGCGGCTGTAACACAGACACACATCAGTCGACGATTCTATTCAGTTCATTTGATTCATATCTATCAGGTACTGTACATCTAAACAGTCTCTCAACTGAAGCGGTCGACTACCCAGAGAACGATATCAGTTTATTACTATCACAGTAAAGGTTAAAATTAACAACAGAGTCTGAACTGCTAAATTCAATTGCTTTTTATGTTTTCATTCAATTTATTCAAACACATGTTAAATAATTAAGTGTTGAAGTTTTATTTCCAACACAAAAAAGGCAATTGTGACTTTTTATCTCACAGTTTACATATTGCACTTTTTAAGTTTTTTCTCCCAATTCTTAAGACTTCACTTCTCGCAATTCTGTTGTTGTTTTTGTTTCCACCACAGAATAAAAATAAAAACGGTAATTGCAACTTATCTCACAATTCAGACTTCTCAGAACTACGTTTGTATATCGTCTTCTGAGTTTATATCCCGCCAAGTTTCTGGACACTGAATGTCTTTCTTGAGGTAAATGTTACGTCACGTGACAGCGTTTATGGACATCTGCACACATGTGCGTGACGTCATCATTACCTGCGCGGTCCGCAGCGGCCCGGACAGGTGAACCAGACGCCCGTCATTCTGAGGGTCCAGCATCGCGTCCGGATGAAGAGACACGACCTGTTTGAGACCCTCATCCAGAGAGGAGGCCGTGCGCAGAGCGCGCCCCTGCAGACACAGATGATTGACAGATGGATGCACTGCGGGACTGAGCGACGGAATGGTCGGGTCTCACCTCATTCGTGAAGAGCACGTAGAACGACAGCGCGAGCAGACAGACGCCCGCCATCACCCCGCCGGCGCTCGCGCTCAGACGCTCCAGGAACCCGGGCGACCGCTGCGTGTGAACGCTTGTGTGCTGCTCACCTGAGAACTGACAGATGACAGGTGAAGACAGACGGACAGTGTTAGCGCCGCAGGATCTTATGGATGCGACTTACTGCTTCAGTCATTCTGTGTGTTTCACGACCGCGAATGCAAAGTTTGTAACTTCAGCAACTCTGCCGGAAAAAGTTCTGCTTCCGATTAAACTATCGCTCTGAAACGAGCTTAATCATGTAAGAAAGAGTGAAACTCCCAAAACTTGACTGGTCAAACGAGTCGAGGAAGTGTCTGGCGCGGAGCATGCTGGGAAATGTAGTCACTTTTCGCGCAGCACATGCTGGGAAATGTAGTTCTACATCGCAAAATGTAACTATATATAAATTTACTGAACTTGGACTGAGTGCTCAGTTCATGTATGAATATCATCAATATATTATTATATATTAATCAGAAGCTTCATTTTATTACGGTTATGAATTGTGTTTCATTATTATTCAAGTTAATTGGCTGAAATTGAAAAATGTAGCAAATGTGTTTAAATCTTGAGTCTCTGGCCACTCGTGACAGCACGCGCACATCTCAGAGACGTCTGCATTACATCTGCACTACATCTGCAGGACGTGTTCTTTAGCGTGACACACACACGGCTGAGGCGGATGAAGTGTGTGTTTGGATTCGGCCGCAGAGCGTCAGGATGCCGGAGTTTGAGGTGATTGTTCTGGGGACCGGACTGAAGGTAAGAAACATTCACATCCTGATCTGAGATCCGACTAGTGTCCAGTCCTGCAGAGCTCAGCGCCAACCCCAATCAAACACTAGCAACACTAGAGACGTCCAGGCCGTGTGCGGAGGCGATCTGGAGCTCACGCTAGATGTGTGTGTGATCAGGGATCTGTGTGCTGCAGGAGTGTGTTTGATCTGGACTGATGTCAGTCAACGGGAAGAAGGTCCTTCATATGGACTCCAGCCTATATCATGGAGAAGAAAGTGCCTCATTTCCCCTCTGCAGGAGGTATATATATATAT